CCSRAMCCCCCYGGCTGCTCCCTCCTGTCAGGGAGTTGTGCAGAGCCACAAGGTCCCCCTGATCCCCCTTTGCTCCAGGCTSAGCCCCTTTCCAKCTCCCTTGGCCACTTCTGGAGCTCCAGACCCTTCCCTGGACACRCTCCAGCCYCTCCRTGTCCTTCCTGCCACAAGGGTCCCAGAACTGGAGGTGCCCCAGGACACGGACAGGCACAGCCTGGGCCTGTGCCCACACCGGGCTGGCACAAGGAGCAGCTCAATTATTCCCCRAGTTGCAGCCTCAGCAGTGAACGGAAGTGCTGAGCTCCGTCCAGAACGTGAGGCTTCGTCCACACGTACAGATCCTGGCAGGGTAACACAAATCAAACACAGCATCCTTCCCACCCCATTCAAACAACTGCCAGTCCTGAAGGAGCCAAGGCATTCCTGGTGCTGCTCAGGGAATTCCAGCTGCCTCCAGATACCCACTGAACTGGGGAGAAAAGGTCTCCCTTTGTGTTTACATAGATGGTCAAAACGCAGCTGCCCACTTTGGACACCTCCCCACGTGTCAGAAATTGTTTTCTTTTAAACACACAGACTGACTGTGCATTTTCCAGGAAACTCAGAGCTCATTACTAGGACGTTTGGAATTGTAGGAATGGAGCGTTTGAACACCACGTGGAGAGACAGCCCCAGCCCTGAGCAGCCTCCCAGCTCGTGACAGGGATCACTGCACCAATTTAAAAGCAGAATCACCTTGGCACTGCTCRTTTTTAATTAAAATCAAATCCCTGCCGCTGCTCTGCACGGATCCATCCATCTGCTGATGTCATTCCCTCTCCACTGCTGTGTCACGTTGTCATCGTGTGGGTAACGAGATAAAATTAGGAGCTGACTYGGAGGGCAAGTGCCAGAGGCACTCCAAGCATCAAAGGCATGAGCTGTCTGGAGGAGCAGCTGGATTTGGCATCCAGAAGCTGGACAGGTCACTCGGGACAAACCCCAGCTCTCCATCATCTGAGGGGCTCTCCCAGCTCCCACCTCCCCGACAAACCCACCTGTATCACAGAAAAGCAAGCCTGGGTCAGATCCCTGTGCAAAACTCCCTCCTCAAAGATTAGTAAGGAATCTCACCCACCTATTTTTAGGGCTATTATTTGTGGATGCCAAACAGGACCCAAACAAACAGCCTGAAGGAGACTCTGTTCTCTGACATTTAGGCTGAATTTGTGGACGAGGACATCATGGAAACTGAGCTGCAGCCCCATCAGAGCCTCCCTACAAGAGGCTCCACAAAGCCCCTGGAATGCAGACACAGACGCAGAGACACAAAGCTGCTGCTCAGATCCCACATTCCCAGGGCCTGGCATCCCAAAGAGCCACCCCAGCAATAAAGCTGATGATTTGATGATGTTCCTGCTGAGCTGGAGCTCGATGCTTCCCCAGCACTCCAGGAATGTGTCCTTCAGGAAGGAACGGCCCTGTGGAGGTTGGTTCCTATGATTCCTATGGTTTCCCATGGGATGGAGGCACATTCCCAACAAAGCCAGGATATTGCAGTGCACAGGGGGCCCAAGTCAGCCCATGCTGCTGTCCAAGGAACCTTCTGGCAATAACTGTGAGGCGCTGGACACACACAGAGCATTATCCCCCCATCCCTGTCAGCAAGGACTTTCCAAACAGAATAAACGCCAGCAGCTCTGAGCTCGGCTCATCCGGGGAAGGAATAACAAGATAACCCCTGGCTGGGTTTTATCCCAAGTTCAGTGAGTGACCATGACTGGAGGTGTGGGAAGRCAGAGACTTTATACAGATCACTGACACTGGGTGGATATTGCCCCCTCCTCCTCCAAAACTGCTCTGCAGAAATGCAGGGAAGATCCCTACCAGAACACAGGACAGTCCCAGTGCTCTCCTGGATATCTGGTAACATTCCAGAACTCTGGAAAACCATTAACCACGTTCTCTGYTGTATTTACTCCCAGCACAACCTTCTACCCCTTCTCACTCCAGTAACGGGGAAGATCAATCCCAGAACCAGGGAATTCAGGCTGGAGCTGGATCCTCCCGAAACCACAGCCTTGTCTGCTCATTTAAGCACCACTGGGTCCTCTGGCAATTCCTGAAGGACACAAACTCCAAAGCCTGGTTAATGTTCTTTTCTTTAGGATATAAAATGAGGTTTTAAGATCTGAGGTCACCAGAGCTGTTGATGGGGATTTGAAGCTGGAACTGCTTCCCCAAAACACCATCAGGAAGGAGCAGATGTGGCCARTCCCTGATCTCCTCAGCAGCCTTCTATTTCTCTCCTCCAAAGAGAA